AACGATATGGTGCGCTTCTTTACTGCCGCTTCAAAGATGATGGTTTGATTGTCATCGACGGCTCTAACCAACAGCGGTTTGAGTTCTGCAGAAATTTGAAGAAGAAGGCTGCATTTTTCCAAATATCGTTTGAGAGTGTGTCGCAGACCAAGGTCGAAATGTTGGATGTTCGTTTGTTTAAAGGTCCTGGTTGGGCACGTACTGGTGTGCTTGACTACGCTTTGCATCTCAAAGAGAGCAGGCAATGGCGACCCCTTTTGCCCAGTTCCGCACACCCGAAGTCTGTTCACGTGTCTTGGCCACTCGCCCAGATTCGTCGCATTTTGAACAGATTCAGTGACAAACACGCAGGCAGAAGAGCTGTCTGCGATTTCCAGGGGAGGCTGTTTCATAGTACGGGTCTCCCTTTTAATTTGGCAGCCCACACCCACCAACCTCAATCCTCCAGTAGGGCTGATGTCAAGTGTGTCTTACCTCGTCTCATTTTGCCGCACTTGCAGAATGGTCTGGGCAAGGATTACTGAAGCAATTTCAAACGCGTTTAGAAGCACCAACTTGTTTTCTGAGTTGGGCCTTTCACGCGAGCGCCAGCCGGTGCAAATTGCGTGGAAGTTGGGCGGCCGTCACCTCGTGCACGTGCTACGCTCTTTTAACTTGCTCTAACTACAGATATTGGAGGTGTCAAGGGGATGGATGGTGGGAATTTGTTGCTGTTGCAACAGTCTTTTCTCGAAAATCGAAGATACGACTGATGCAGCTTTTCCTGCGCAAGGCGCTCAGCAAAGCGAGGCTACATCCTAGAGTTGCAGAGTTCTAGGAGCGCAGAAAGGTGCTGCCCCGGGCCTGCTTTGGCCCCCTTTTTTGCGCCTTGAACCTGGTTGTTGCCCAGACGAACCCCATTTTAGGACCTATTTTAGTGGTTGGATGGGGTCCCGCTCACTGGGGGCTCACCGGGGTTTTGACCCATGGCCTCGCCCAGGAAGTCGGCCAAGGCTTCCAGGCCCATGACGTGGCGCAAGGCCTCGATCGAGGTGCTGCCGGAGGCTCGTCTGGGAGCCCAAAAGGTTGTGTAGGTCCTCCAGTAGAGAGGTTAGAAAAAGGGTACTCTTTTTTCAGTAGTCTAATTATTTTAGTAGGGAAACCCTCCCCCAAAAAAAGGGGTAAAAGGATACTACTGGGGGACCTGGTTGTTGTCGTTGTTTGGAACCGGCACCGTGCGATTGAGTTTGGATTCAAGGGAAACCAAAGGGAAGCCATTGTTTCTTTTGGAGGTCTGACATTTTGAGACACACCGGCATTGAGTGAAAACTGAGGAGGCTAAACTTAGATTTGATGCTTGCGCTACGTTGTGTCTTTTGGTTTACAGAGGGAAACCTCTCCACCCCAAGCAACTGGCTGTGCTGATTATGACACGTTCGGCGACGTTTGTGTTCAAACAAAGGACTTGACAGGCTTGGATGTCCTTTGACCCGGTAAATCGGGTACATCTTCCGCAGACCCTGCAAAGCCAAAAACCACCGAGATTTGAACTCCGCCAACTTGGCGAGCTTCTGTGCGCAGTCTCTCATTTCCTGTATGGTTTCAAGTGGATTCCCTCTTCTCACGCGGGTGTGTAGTTTGTTTTAGGGAACTCCCAAAATAGTGGGTTTCCCTTAAGTTTCCCTTGAAACCAACCTCAAGACAAAGTACCCACAAAGAAGACAGGCCCATGTAGCCAACCCCCCTGGGGCCAAAACCAGACGCTACGGGCGCTTTGGCCATGCCTAGCCATGCCGTAGGCCCCGGGCTCGGGGGGCGCCGCGCTGCCACCCGGCAGTGCGCTTCCTCAGCTCCAAGCCATCCTGCTGCACGTCCTGCGATCGAGTGACCGAATGGATATGGCCAGTGAACGGGACCCAATCCAACCACTAGAATAGGTCCTAAAATGGGCGGTGCATTCACCTATCCCAAAATGGTACCATTGGTTTTGAACCATGGCCATATGTTTCTCAAAGGGGACAATCCAAATGGGGTGCTCCCTTTTGGTGCCCGTTTAAATAACCATTCATGCCGCCAAATGGAAGTGAGGCCCAAATCGGCATGTAGGACATCCCCCGGGTCTGATTCATTTGATTCCCTATCGCAACCACAGTATTGGAACCTTGGCTTGATTATCATCCTCAGCTCAGTTGAGATCTCTCGGAGAAGCCGAGCCTCGCATCCAGAGCCAAGTTCCCAGACCTGGAAAATAAGTGGAACCCTTTTTGATCGATGCCAAGTCGACATCTTCAGGTCCCAAACTCGAGATCCCCAATGAAAAGAGGCGTTTTCGGATACTACAGAGGCCTCCCCCCCCCGGTGCCCGCCACGGGAACCAAAAGGACCGCCGTGCCTCAATCTCCTGCAGCTCTTCCTTGAGCCTCCCCTCGGAGCCAAAGAGCCCTGCCAGGTGGATTTTTCATCTCTGAACATTGCGACTCCGACTTTGGGGATGGGAGCGGTAATTGACCCGAAGTCACAGGACATTGAAACGGGACTCCTGTTGTTTTGTTGTTTTTTCCATGTGGGGAAGAATTGTAAAGGTCTCTGGGACAGGCCTGGAGGCTCCATGACTCGTTATTGGAACAGCTTTCCCAAGGGTCAGACTCGAGGACACTGTTGGACTGGAATATCGAAGGGGTTGTGCCTTTCAAACAAGTTGGTGAGTCGTCCATGGTCAGGCACTTGAAGGATCTTGACTAGGTCTTTCCCTCTTTTTTCTCTCTCTTTCTCTCTACCAAGGGCAATCTTCACAAGCCTGGCCACTGGATACTTCTAGTGCCACCCGGGCACGAGTTGCCAAATCTCCAGAGCAGCACCTTTGTCCCAGGAATGGGCAATAACTACAAACTACACCTTTGACGTTAAGGGGATTACCAAGCCAAGAAGTACGGAGTTGTGGAATCTACTTTCGCCCCACTGTGCCACTGTACCTGATCATACCTGATCCAAAGTAACTTGTCTGGTTCACCCGACCTGATCCAAAGTAACTTGCTGGGTTCAGTTGAGTTGAAAAGCGCCTTCGGCTTCTCCGTCGTCCAGGCAGTCGAAGTCCACGTAGAGCCGCCGCAGCCGCGCCGCGCAGGCCTCGTCTAGGGTGCGGTTTGGGGGCCATCGAAAGCGGGTGGGTTGTGAGTTTGGTGTCTTTACTCGTTGGGCTTTATGTTTTCTTCACTTCTGGTTTCAACTATATTCATTCCTGTTGCAATAAGGTTTCCTCTTCCCTCTTGGCTTTGTCCTTTGGCTCCCTTCGATTTTTCCAATGGCAAGCACGCCTCCGCAGTCCCGCCCGGCCTCAAGGCCAAGCACCAGGCCCTGCAGCGAGGACTGCACCTGCGCCTGACATCGGAAGCTGGGGTTCGATTGATCAAAATGGAGCTGGTGTACTTCTCTTAGTTAGACGGGAAAGCACAAACTTAAGGACCCATCAATATTTTTGTTGGTTGGCTTCGCTTCAAACACAACCCAAGCTTGGACCATTTACGAAAACATGAGCGGTCATTGCCCCAAGTTGATGGTGCCTTGCTCCAATTGTTGAGGATCATGGAGACAGGGAGTCTCGAACTGAAGGAGAGCATTCGCTGGAAACCAGTACGGTTCAATGATTTGTGTCCTTCGCAAGCAACGTTGCTTGTCGCCTCAAAAGTACTTCGTGTTGATTGCCGGCTTTTTTCAGCAGTATTTAAGGCCCTGGCGCTGCATTTGTGTGGCACAGATGTAACGAATTCTATGTTGCTGATAGGAGCACGGCTATTCACCAGGACTCGACCCGGAGAAGGAAAATTCGGACCCTGGTCGCGCATGCCAAAGGGAAACCAGCTAGGCTGCTGTTTAGACAGGAGCATTTAAAGATGCTTGGACGGCTAGCCTGGTTACCAGGTGGAGCACCAAATCACCTAGATTGCTGATATCTCCATTGTCCTGGTTTTAGGCTTTGATTTTGCTGCTAGCTGGTTGTATCCCCAGCCCCCTTGTTTTGCCAACGTGTCCCCCACTTTCGGACCGCGGGAATCAAAAGAAGAATGGCCCCTTCTTATCCCTTTTTTGCAAAGCCTACCCAAGGTACATGGAAACAGAGTTGTTTTCATGCGATGCGCGAGTCCAACCACTTTGTTCAGGTGGAAGTGTTCTCTACCGGCTACACCCAAGACCGTTGTTCGGATTCGGAACATATGTGTCTTTGTGCGAGTACAAAAAAAACAGCTGCTTTGATAGAAACCAGCGGGAAACTGTTCGTTTCCTCCATTGGATAACCTCTAAAATGGGCGCAGCGACGAGCTTCTTCCTTGCAAAAACCAACTTTGGGAGTCAACTTTGGGAAGGCGCGCGCCGATTCCATCGAATCGCCTCCAAGCGCTCCATGTCGAGGTGGAACTCCCAGCCTAGTGGCAAAAGCACACCCGAAAGGAAATGGCAGGGGTTGGGGAGGGGTGCTTGGGGGGGAATGGTACCCTTGCAAGGTCTCTAGGCAGAACAATCGCCGAGCTACAGAAAATATCTTAGGTCAATTGAATCCAAAGGCAGGCACAAACCGCAAAGATACTGCACCAAGCAAAACTGCAAAAGTACCAGAAATGCTCCCTCAGGGTGCCAATTAGGCTTCCTTCATGTTCCTTCCGTTTACCAGACGTCTCCATGACCCTGGAAAGCAGGATCATTCTCCCAAATGCGTGGTCTTGTCATCCCAAGTCCTGGGAGGAGGCGGGGGGTGAGAACCATGGACCTCCCACCCATCCCACAAACAGAGGGGGGGCTTGTACGGTCACATTATGCTACCTTCCAGAGCCCCCCATTCGGGGCCCGGTGGGGGGGAGACTGGATCATATATTATATAATTACCCGGTTGCGCGTGTGCCAAAATAGGCCAAAAAATGGTGGTGTAGCCTCCTTTTAAACCAACTTGAAAAGGGTACCCTCAAAAAACACATACCCATGTTTCAAGATGTCGCCTTGGCCAAGCGGCGCAAGTCCTCACCCCCCATCTGGGCTGCGATGTGCACCGCTGCCACGTGCAACCCTGCGCAGTCGACGGAATCGGATCGCTCGGTTTGGGTGTGGCTTGCCATGAAAACAACCCTGAACTTATCTGTTCTTGGGGAACTTGGGAAGGACCCTTCGCCAAACCTCTGGGTGCTTGCATTTCTTGCGTGTCCTTTTGTGCCGAAACCAAGAAATCTCCGTACCTGGTGGAGGCCCAACTGGACTCGCCTAAAGACCGGTTGCTTTACATCATTGTTTACCCAACTGTTGGGTTCCTGCATGGCGAACTGGAGGTTTAAGCTCATGATTGTTTCCTAAGAACAAGCAGCAAGTGAAAAGGGCAACCATGAAAAACAGCGCACTGGTGTGAGATGTGTGAGACTCACTGAGTAAAGCAACTTGGGGCACCCATGTCATCCGCGTTCAGATCATGAGCATTGATGCTCAAACACCAAACGGCTTTGTTTCCACTTCGAATACTGTTCGCAAACAGCAACAAGTTGGATCCCTTTCTTTGACCCCATTTAAAAGCTCCAAAACATTAACCACAAAACCAGGGTGCCTCCATCAAGCAACTCGTGACAGTTCCTATCGTAAAGAGTCTCAGATCGCTGCTCGCTACAAGTTCTCGCTGTCAAGGCACCGACATCAGGCAACTGCCCTGTCGGGATCCCTAATTAGTTGAATTTCCGCAAGGACACTGACCTTTGCCCCAAATGGAGGCCCTTTTTGTTTTATGGAACAACATGGAGGGGGGATGATCAGGACACAGCCCGTTTCTTTCCAAGAGGGATAAGATCGGAGTGAACTCCAGCAACGTAAGTCATTTAAGTGGCGAAATGTTCATCTTCCCCAAAGGCGAAAGGTTTTCCAGATCCAACCCCCCCAGCCCCCCAGGACCGCCACGGGAGGGCGGCATCGAGAGCGCCTTCCTGCAACTCCAGCGCTGCGGCGCGCCAGGCGAGGTGGGGGCCGATGAGGCACGCCTGAGGCGAACTTCCGAGGACTTTCGGTTTTTGGAAGGTCCGGTGGTTGAGTCCTTTAGACGAGGGTGTCTTATGTAAGGGGGGGAGACCCTGGCAGTTACATTTCCAAGGGGTCCAGGGGGGGGGGCTGGCTTGGCTATATATTTTAGAGGGGAGTCCCTTAGTATCACAGGTAGGACCCTAGAATCCCAGTTTTCCGCAAACCAGGTACAAGCCCAGGTAGTAGCATGGCTCAGGTTTTCGGGAGGTCCACGGCTCAATTGCGTCAATCGAGTTCCTAACTTCAGACCAGGGCGTTGGCCGTTTAAACATTCGCACTTCTTGAGGGTACCCTTTTTGGGATTGGTTTAACGGGGAACCAAAAGGAAAACCAACATTCTGGGGGTCCGTCTTTGACGCATCCGTTGAGTAACAGCCAAAACCTGGTGACTCAAAAGGGTCCATCCTCTCCACGTTTTGATGGCGCGGCTAGCGCTTCAAAAGTTTTAAGCGTCTTGGAGCAAGCCTGCTTGAAAGGCAACCGGCTCGAGGTTCAATTACCCAATGACCCTGGTGGAGGTTTCGGGTTGACCATATTTACTGGGTTGATCCACCGATACATGTCGGTTTCGCAAAAGCGACCTGGCGCCCCGCCCAGCGAAGTATGTTCAGAAACATGTTAAAGTGTTGTAAGACTGTGGTGCGCGAAATTTGCCAAATTTTAGGCCTCGGCCAGTTTCACAATTTGTGAGGACATTCTTCCACAAAGCCTGGCAGAACTTTACATGTTAGCCGAGTTTGGCATGAAAAACACTGATTGCTACGCATATCAGTATTGGTAGCTGAATAGTGTCTACATAAATATATGTATAATGCAAACATGATTCCATGCATGTACAAACATGCAGTCAACTACACCCCCCACCCCAAAGCCATTTCCCTATTTGGATCATTTCAACTCGCGCCGACCTCCGTCTCCCCAATCTCCCTCTCGCTTGTGCTTCGTGAGCTTCTCGTCATGGAACCCTGGTGGAATGGACCGAAACCTGCGAAGGCCATCTGCCTTAACTGAATTTTGAGCCAGGCCCAAGGGACTTCCATTGAAGTCGACCCAAGGCTAGCCTCAAATGGCGCGCTAAAACTTGCCAAGGCAGCTCAACAAAGAACTCACCGTACGCTCAGGGCTTGAACCGAAATTGAGCTCCCACAAGCGAAGGTGTGTCCCCCAAGAGGGGTCTCCGTCGAACACGTCTTAATCGGCGATGTTCCTGGACACGAAGTCGCCCCTATCCCTTGCTCAGCGTTTGCCTGGTGTGCCATTGAGGAAAGGGAAAGCAAGGCAATACAAGACGCATGTAAAAAGAATGGGCGCGTGAAAAGAAGCATCTAAACACCAGCTGTCTGTGCTAATTCGCAAGATAGATCATAAGTATAAGGGAAAAAACGCTATATCCAAGTTCTAGACACGAAAGCAATTTGATTCACTGCAGTGAGGGATCCCATCACAAAATCCGAGGTGCCAGTGTATCGGCTTGCTCATCTTGTTCCTCGCTCGTCTCGTCGACCTCCGAGTCTTCACACGCCTCCGGATTCTCCGCCTCTCCTGAGGCGCAATGGGACCCAGGGCCTGAGGACTTATCAATTGCTGGGCTTGGGCGGTGTACCATGGGAATCCTTCGCGTGGGCAAGCACTCCCTGACAGATCCGCCAGGTTGATTGATTCAGGGGCACAATTTAAAGCCCGAGTTAGGTGTGCAGCGGAAAATGTTGGAGAAATCAGGACAATCAGTCTGATCAAGAGGGTTAGAAAAGGCGCGGGGATATCCCGGAGGGGATTGATCAAGGGGCGTACACAAGCGCAGGGGATATCCTGCGTGTCAAATCAAGAGTTGCCAGTAACCGTTGACACTTTGTGCAGCGCCAGTGGCTCTAGTCATGCTCCCAAGCACAAGTGGCGTCAGCACATATGGCCTGCATTCACTAGCGAACCTCAGTTTTCTCCTGAGTGTTTGGGGTGATGGTTGGCCCTCACCAAATTGACGAAAGGTCCGGGCTGTCTCTAATCCACTTTACTTGGTCGCCTGCAACGAGAGCGATCAGGGTGCATGATGTTTGAGCGAGGCTGCTTCTGCTTTCGCCCAAACATGTGCCGCAATACTCCCCCAGCATAGCTCAATCATACTTCAAATCTCAAACGGAAAGCCTTTAGGCTGTAGCACCAGGGCCTTCCCTACTTTTGCAAACGGCTTGGGCAATGATCTGATTGGTCTGTATGACTTATCTTAGACCCCCAAACCTGGATGTCACCAGAACTTGCCGAGATTGGTCAGTTTACTGCGGAACGCGGTGAACCATACACTGGTGGTGGCCTAACTGGGCGAGGCAAAATTCGGCCTCAAGCATTCCCTGCCTGACGGCTCCTCCGGCTCCTCCTTGGAGAAAAAAAATGCCCACATGCCAAATGCAGCCCACAAAGAATTGCCTTGCATGGTTCACGCATAGTGCATTGGCTTCGCCTATGACTAGGGGAACCGTTCTCCCAAGCCTGTGACTCGGAAAGATCGGTTTGGCGATAAGTAAGAGGTTGATCGGTCCGGATTCAGGGAACCCAGCCAAACCAAAATAGTCAATTCACTCATGGCCCGAATATGCCAATATTCATCGCAAAAATGCAAACGCCAAAAAACCATCCCACGCCGTTTAAAGAATCACCCCATGCGCTGCATCTAGGTGTTTATGGTTCTTTTTGATCGAGCTACTTGGGCTACAACAAGGCAGATGTCACGAACTGTGGATCTCATATCTTGCCTTCGATGCCTACATCGATGGCTACTGGCCTGCAGTTGTCAAGACTCGTTTTACTGGCTTGGTAGTTGCTGTTGGTGGGTATTGCGCCTGGAAGAAGGGAAAATGCAATTGCTTAAGTTGAAACATTTACACGGTTTGACCATACCTGTGCTGCCGACGAGCCACTTGAAAAGCCAGGCCGTGTTGGGCATGTTTTCACTTAAACTTACGCGCGTGCCATGGTCAGGTCTCTGGGGTCAGGTGTGAGGACAGCCAAGCAGCCTTAACTTTCCGGCAGCACCCAAAAGCATGGGCCTAGCATTTTGGAGACTTAAATCGGCATGATGGGGCGCGACATCTGATGGGGTTTGGGACGTGATTCTTGCGACATGGCGTTTTCAACTCCGGGACTCTGCAAATAGTTTCTGTTCTCATGGTTTCTTTTCTTCCGAAGGAGCGGCTACCTCTCCTTCTACTGTTCTTTCGTGCTTGTCTACATGTGTCGGGGATGCTGTTGTGTTTGGGAACATTCAGTGAGTCTTTAAAAGTCCCCATGGTTGTTCTGGGTGGTTTAAAAGAATTTGCGGTTCTTGCGACGCCCGGCGCCGAAACCGAGACGGATCAGTTCCTGTCGATGTGAAACTTCCACGAGTCTCACAACAGCGTTGTGCCTTTGGAGTAAAACAACGGCTTTTGCCATTGCAATCTTTCTCGAACTACAAGCCGTAACCATTGGGTAGCCTAAAGTGCCTGATCGCGGCCACCTAGGATATATAACTCAAGTGAGTTGGCTCAAACATGGCGCAACGCACGCAATAAGAGCAAGTGTCCCGCTTCAGCCTAACTAGAGGACAAGGCGGTTCACAGGTTTGCTACGCTTTACGCATGCAGCCCATCTCAATCTTTCGCGCTCATACGCTCAACGCACATGCTAGGCCTCAGGGAGAAAAATGGGTACAATTGCCGCATCATTGGAAGCAGCAATGTGCGCCGCACTCGTATCCCAGAACATACACCCCACGAGCGTGATTTCACTCCAGAAAGTGCCTGTACGACAGGCGATGGCTATGGATCTGACTGGAAATTGCACGTTGTAGTTGTAGCTAACACATTGCACAATTGCACGTGGGGTCTGCGAAGCGCAAGACACGAGTTGACGCAAGGGCAAACGGCGGGTTCACTGGTCAAAAAGAACTACTCATCGCCGCAGCCGGATGTTCCGGCTGCCAAGTCAATTGGCGGCTCGGCGC